GCAACAATGAATGGTAAGAATTCATTAAGGTCAGAGGTCGCAACCTAAGCTGTTAGTAGAAAATAAATTCTCGTAATTCTTTTAACCTTAAAAGAGACATATTCAAATTGGAAGAGAAATCTTTCTTTACATTGACCAGAATACATTTCACGAACACAACCGAGCGAAGATGTACCGGCAACGAATACGTCCTTTTGTTTGCTTATTCTCACTACGACAATGTAGGCGGGCCCAATATGCCTCCTTGAGGCATCCTTAGCACGTGACTTATGTTACTTGTCGTTATCAAGCGTCAAAAAAACCAAAATAAATGCTAATGGATGTTGTTTTGATGAGTGATCTTAAGTTAGCGGTACCTCAGCGTGCCACAGCGGGTTTTTTGACCCGGTCACGTCGTGTCCTTGATTCTCCGTTAGCGTTATCAGCAATGCAATCTCGTTGGAAACCTGATTATTAAGTATACTCAAATAAATTGTAATGAGCTGTAAAAAAACGCCTGCTTGATTGTGATAAGGATGTTAATTATGTGATTGAAATTGTTACGGTCTCCAAGATGTGAATGTATGAGAACGCAGATCTCTTAATTGAAGTTAATTGTAAGGTGCAGGGGCAGATATTAATTAAATTTCTCTGGGACACTTGCTTGATACCTAATGCGTATAGAAATAATGTTCATTTTCCAACGTAGTAACAAAGACATGTAAAGATGTATGCCGTACATAAATTCACGAGACTTGATGGGAAATTTTATTTTATTATTTTTTCCAATAGTTAATATTAATAATTTGCAAAGGACAATAATCGACTAAACACACTACAGGAATATATTTGTTTATAGATATTAAACACGATGAACTGGGCAGTCCTGTTGGTGTGCCTGGTCGGTTGGACGAGCTGTCAGGCTGCGACTATGGTTGAACCTCAAGAGAAAGAGAAAGGACTTATCGAATGGATCAGTAATTTACTTGGGAACAACCCAACTCCCACTACTGTCAAGCCCGTTTATCAGGACCCTCCAACCAGTTGTCCTGCTTGTCGTAAGTAGTTTTCATGAAGTACTTTAATTATAATTATCTATTCTCATAGTTCTATCGAAATCACTCCCCTTTGTATTTGCTCCGTGTTTAAAATAGAAGTACCTAGATATCGTAAATATTTTTTTTTATGACAGGGGTAAACAAGTAAACCTTTTGTGCCTAGCTTTTTAGGGAGGAAAGACTAGGGAGTGTAAGATTTTTACCTCACCAAAACCACCTCGGCGGCCGGTGGCCGCTATCAGCACCGTTACTAGACCCTCCCAATAGACAAGTTCTGGAGCCTTGCTCACTATGCAACGCGTATTACGGCACAAACGGCACAAATTTAGAGTTTAATTTACGAATGATAGCATAATTACTAAATCTCGATGGAATTTACAACATGGCAGACTTTTTGACTAGGTAAACCTAATTTATATTTTTCAGAATGTGGTGTAGCGCGGACTAAGCGTCGTATAGTTGGTGGGTACGAGACAAAAGAGCGTGAATATCCCTGGATGGCCATGTTAATGTACAACGGAAGGTTTTTCTGTGGTGGATCCCTCATCAACGACCTTTATGTCCTCACAGCAGCGCATTGCACGGGGTACGGTGATTTTTGCTATAAGGATTAAATACTGCAGGGTATTTAACTTAATTAACCAGACATTTAGATCGTCCATTAAGTTTTCTACTAATCGATACAGCAGTATTAGTAGCCCCAAATATATCCTGAACTTCCATTATCATTATTGCAAGACTTTTATGTGAACGGAAAGTACCTAAAGTGATTTTCTAGAAAGTAGCACCCAGTTATTTTCCTATAGAATAGATGACGGCAAGCCATACCTAAGCTAGGTACTTACTTGTGTACTAATTGTTACATTCTAATTTATCATCTAGGTAAATAAATACAGAGATCAACAATACCGTTTCAGTATTTGATGCCAACTTGTCCCTAGGAACAAAGCTTAAGGTACCTAAAAATAGTAGAAAAGATTATGTTGCACGCAGTATTGGCCTCCTGCCACCTGCATTCTAGTGAACTGCATCTAAATGATTACGTTAATATTAAACAGGTGCACATTCTCACGATGATCTTATTACAATAGGTACCTACCCATTGGGCTGTAAATCAGGACCGTTACGACTGAGGGCCTTCTAGTGCGATTTCCTTTTTGAAAACGTTTAATAATGAATTAATTTAGGTTATCACAAACGTCTGTTATTATACAATGTAGGCCTGACATAGTATGATATACTACCTACATAGTATATATACTACAGAGATACTATGATATAAGACAAATACAAAAATAATTTCTTGATTTGACAAAAATTACTCTATCGTCTACAATATACTTTACACGACAAACCGGCCTAAGAAAACTTCAATAACTCCGCAGGTACCGCAAGGAGCGCATTACTATTCGGTTGTTGGAACACGACACGTCCAACCCTAACGAGACGAAGACTATCGACAGGAAGGTAGCGGCCGTCATCAGACATCAGCGGTACAACCCTGGCACGTACGACAACGACATCGCACTTATGAGGCTTGATGAAAGGGTAACTTATATCTTTTAAAGTAAAGCCTTGGTGGACATTTAATTTTATTTTGATAGATCTTCAGTAGATGTAGGTACGAATCTTTGTTGTCGGTATGCGGTCGTAGCATGAGCGCAGGATCACCCAAGAACCAAAAGCGTTTCGGAAAAATTGGACGAAGTTATATTAAGATACAAAATAATATATATAACGACAAAATTAGGCAAAAGAAGACTTAACATAAATCGGATAATAGTGGTACTCGCTAGAGCATGTGGGTAACCCCTACTTAAGTACCGATTAATTAAGCCAAACATGTATTAATCCGATCGTCACGCAGTCACGCTATAGTTAAATCTATGTCTCCATCAATCCGTTCCGCTAATGCAAACTCGCCAACAACATGTAATGTTTGTTTTGAAGTCGAATTGCGTGATAAATCACCACTTTCACGAGATGGAATTCTTCATCGCTAACGAATTCTTTTACTTGCACTGTTTCGGTGAATATATTTCAGAGGCAATTAAGCGCCTTATAACTTCGTACCTAATGTTTTAGTCAAGAGAAGTTATATTACCAATTTTAGCAATTTTGTCTATAGCGATAAGGTAATTTTCCACAAAGGGGTCAATCTCTAATTTCACTTGTTTCTTTAACAGTTGGACTTGAGCACTGCGGTAAAGCGAATTCGTAGAGATGAAGACGGAACTACACCGGCCACTGAAGAAACAACTACAACGCCAGACCCGGCTGATGACGTCAGAGTGCGACCTGTCTGCTTGCCCACACCAGGACTGTCTTTCACACGCGAGTGTGCTGTGGTCATAGGCTGGGGTGTCACGGACGAAGGAGGATCCGTCTCAAATACGTTGCAAGAGGTTTGTTTTTTGTTTTTCATCTTTACGATCATCATTATCACATCACGACTCAGTGTTTTGCGATATAAGTCTAAGATAAGAACAATGATGGAGACTGATGCAATTGTAAGCTAGTTTAGCATCATAATGATGAATTGAGAAGTGTACGATATTGCATGTGTTTTTACTTTGCATCAGATTAATTCAATTGGTAGAGAATAGTCCATCAATCCAGAGATACTAGAAATGATTGTTCTTTGGAATACTACAAGTATAAGCATGAGATTAGATCTTTACTATCCACCACACTTTACTATCCCCAGGTAAAGGTGCCAATCGTATCGAATGCGGAGTGCAAAGACCGATCATACGGCAGGCGGATTACAGACAACATGATGTGTGCTGGTGAGCCTGATGGTGGACGTGACGCCTGTCAGGGTGATTCCGGAGGTCCCCTACATGTCTTCAACCAGACAACTGAGAAATACCAAGAAGTCGGTTAGTAGATAGTGTTGCAAGTTGTTATTTAACAGCTTTAATATGCAGTCATTGATTTTGACGAGAATTTGGAAAATAGTGAGGCATAGAGGAAACACAATATTTCGCAAAAGAACCTTGATGCAAAGCTATCTCTGTCCTATTTACAAAATGAGGGGTTTAAAAACACAAAACTATATATGGATTTATTTATTAGAAACTTAGCCAATTTAAATAGTAGTCGCAAATTAGCTTTTCTCTCACAAGATCTATCTTAAATTAAATTGTTATTGGATTTCAGGTGTGGTGTCTTGGGGAGAGGGTTGCGCAAGGCCCGACAAATATGGCGTATATTCAAGGGTCAATCGATATCTGACGTGGATTAAGAGCAACACGGTTGATGCTTGTTACTGCAACTGAATGGCAATGTACAATCACATTTAAAAGTGACGCGACAAAGTTATGACAACAGTGATGGACTCAGTTATTTATTTCACAGATTACCTACATCAAGTTCAGCGCGAGATTTAAAAAAAAATCACACAAATAAGTGCCTACTTTGTTTGTTTTTATACCTAGACTAGCGTATAAGTAATGTTTGTAGAACAAAACAGTTATTATATAAATCCTACAAATCTACCATAACATAAAATAAAATACCCATAACAATTTAACTCGTTGAGTACCGTCATTATAGACACAATTATAGAACAATAGGTTGCGGTCACCGGTGACCGCTTGGTGTTTGACAGTTTAAGTGTCTACAACGTGTCAAAATGATGTTAATAGTTAGGTTAGGTACCTGTTTTTATTTAATTTATTAAATATTAACTGAGTTCTATCAATGTACATTTAATATTTTTGGTTGCGTTTTTGTAACTTTGTCACTCAACTTTTGCATTATCTAGGTAAGCTCTCTATTATTATAAACAATAGTATTTATTAATAAATAATTTGGGAAGATTATTATATTATAATTGTTTTATTTCTTTTCTTTCCATTTTTTAACTTTGCAACATTGAATTAAAGAAATGCATCACAGGTTTTATATTAACCGTTGGTTTGGTACAACAGTGATGTAAAAAAAACCCAAGATTTTATGATGTACGTATTTATGTATTATGACATAATTTATAAATAAGCTGACAATTGTTTGATCTATATTTATAATATTTGAAAGGCTCCTACGCTACTGACTACTTACTACAGGAATTAATTTATTTGCTATAGTATTCAAGTCCACAAGAAATAATTGAGCCTTAATTTAATTTTGTGGATACTTTACATCAAGAGTATATGGAATAATTTTTTATATATAATTAAACATCTATATTTTGCAAAGATACATGCAAATATTATTAAGTTATTATCAATTTCAAAAATTATTCCTCTGCATGAAAGGGAAAATACAGATTGTTATCTTAAACTAATACATGAAATGGTCTAGATACTAAATTGGATTAAATCTTAGTAAAAATGTCTAAATAGTGAAGAAAGTTCAGACAGAACATTGTTGTAAATATGACCAGGAGTTGACAAGTTATCCAAACCTGGGTTGAGTGGTGACAGTCGTGTGTCAGTTCCTGTGGAAGTGGATGTGATTGTCTCTTCAACGACTTCATTGCCTCGTTTCACTATCCGCCTGGTCTCAACTGATCCATCTGGCTTAGTTACACTAGTAGTGATGATGGTCTGACAAAATGATCGACCTGGTACTAAATCTCCATTGAATGGGGTGACGGGAACGATTGGTTTATCTTTCTTTGATTTGAGCAATCCAGATATGTCATTTGATGATACTTTACCATCTAAATCTATGTCTTCTTTGATCTGCTCTTGCGGGCGCTTGTGGTAGCCAGGCTTCAGATAATAGTCCCGTATGTTACCTTCAGGGAAATGTTCTTGTCCACCTTCACCTTGCTCTGGCGGAAGAGGGTTGATGGTCGTGAAAGAATCGAAGGGATTTTCGTTAGAGAAGGTCCTAATGTCCCCAAACATAGCGCCAAAGGTTTGGAATATTTCATGCATCTGTCTAGAGAACTCTCGGTGAATGTCCATAGCATCATTGAACTCGTTCATTTCGTGTCTGGTGTATAGTTCATCACCGTCATCTTCGTCGTCGGAACTCCAAATTGGGTTTCTAAAATCATTTCTAGGCGGATCCTGTTTTATGCCAAAAAATATTCGTAATTTGTCCATGAAACTGTTTTGCGACATTGTGAGCTGAACCTGATGATTTTTGAGATGACGATGGGAAACTGTATGTTCGGTTATTTTGGCTGGTTAATGTTGATATTTTATTTATTGCGCAACAAACAAAAATTATTCGACAGCTGTTTTCTTAGTCCAGTTCAGTATACTTAATAATCACAAATGTAGCATATCCTATATCTGCTGTTTCAACTTTAAGTATCACTTTATCAAGACTTAATCGATCTGCGCGATTTCGTTTCGTATTTTTAATGCTAAAAATTTGTCCAAATTCTTTTGTGAATATGGAACGTATGGCGACGTAAAATGTCAATGTTTTCTTTCCATTCGGAAATGGGTGGAAAGTACTAGAACTTCATTGCTTTTTGTTAAGTAGATTTAATTACTTAAAAATAAAAAAGAGTCATTTTATACAAATTTATTACGTAAAAACTAAATAACGATGCTAAATTATACTAACTGTTTACGTCAAAAATAGAAATTTAATGCAAATACAAACCTGTGATTCTTGTTTCTGAACGGAAAATTGTATGAATAACAAATAAATTTTAATCTCCGGCTACTTGCGCACAAATCGAGATAGTAACCCTAGAAGCTAGAAGCTTAGCATTATCCATGCAATCTTTGTAATTTATAATTTTACCAGCCATTTCCGCGCGGTTTTACCCGCTCTGTCCGGTTCCTATTGATCTTGAGATGTAAATAGCCTTCCTCGATAAATGGAATAAACAACAGTACAACAATCAAATCGGAATCGGACCTTTCTGACGGTCGACTTTTTTCAAACGTTCAAACAAACTCTTCATCTTATACCATATTCCCTTGCTATTCCCACTATTACTAACCTACATTCTCTTTCTGTCTTATAGTTGTATGCGATACCCAAGGCGATACATTTCCGGTTCTCGAGTTCGGTTTCAGCTTAGGTTTCAAATATTTAAGGCAGGTACCAACAAAAAAAGCAGTTCAATAGTTCAATTCAATAGTTGTTCATTGTCTTGTTGTATTCTTATAAAACATTTCTAATTCTTGTTTTTTCGAAAGCTGCCTGGAATACCTGGAAAACCCTTCATTTGATGGGGCTTACAATATTTATGCTCACCAAATGGCGCTAGTGCGACGCCATCGCGTTCGTCGTCCTATAGGGAATTAGCTAGTGTTATACCATTGGACGTTCAATATTTGTCAGCAGCAATGATTTTGTACAATAATCCTCTACCCACATGCACTATCTGGGGAGTAAAAAAAAGGTAGAGTCCATTTCACGAAAGAAGTCCCGCGGACAATTGTGGAACTAAATTTGACAAATGGGGAGTTCGGCCATGTTGTCGTTTGTCGATGTTGTCAAGGTGGGTTTGTTGTGGTAGATATTTTGTGAGTTTATTATTAAATTAGTGCATTATAAGGTTTATTTACGATGCCAAAAGTTGTAAAAAGTGCAGGTCGAGAAATGATATTAAAAGTGAAAGAGTTCTGTGAAGCGGAACAGAAGAATCGCACCGTTTTAATACCATTAGACAATGTTCGCAAAAGAGTTGCCGCCATAACAGGTAAATTTTGGGGCTGCCATATTAAACATATTTTTTACCAATTAGACTTAAGTTTTTTTAATGAGGAATTAACATAACACAACAAAAATTTGTAAAATTGTATTCAACAATAATATAATTAAATGCGGAAAAAGTCACTGTTAGATTTTTTTTAATTGTTCATTTTATTGCAGGTGTGTCGGAGAGTCGTGTGTTATAAACAGACGGGTAGCGGTTAAAAACGTGGGCCAAGATCCAAAAGAAATTGTACGCCTAACAGAAGAGGCGTTCGAGACTGTTACAGCGGAAGATTGGGCAGTTCAATGCAAACATGTACAGCATTTGGAGGAAGAATATTTAAAAAATGATGGTCTTATGGATGAAGAAATGCATCGATTTATTATATCTACGGCTAGTGATAATGAAACAGAATCTAATTCTGTTTCTATTCACTCTTCTGACAGTGATCATAGTATGACCGATCATAATTATTCAATAAAACTTTAATAAAACTTTTTAAATGTTATTTTATGTTTCTAATTTGATGTTGGTTGAACATCTTTATTTCCATTTTATATTTTAGAAATTACAGGAAGATTAATTTTTCACTAATCTGACCTTAGCAGTATAAACATAAATACCTATATAAAAAGACATTATTTTTAAAATATTCCTCGAACTGTTCGAGTACGTAGTTAATCAAACTAATGTCAATTTCTCCTGATTTCCCCATACTATATAAATTTAACCGTGGCAACATTATGTCGCGCGAATACAGCGCTGCGTCTGCGGGACTTCTTTCGTGAAATGGACTCTAGCCCCCGTTCTCTGACTGTTACACGAAAAACTAAGTGGAGAGCACCAATGTTGCTTCTCTTTCTCGCACAGCAAATATCTCGCATCAACACTGTTTTGTCCTGCTGTCATACATAATATGGCATATTGACATTGACAACGATTTAATTTAAATCTGTACGCTGGTGGAACAGAGCGTTTATATGTGGTACACAGTGATAAGCATTTGATGCGGTGTGCGATTGTTAAATATTTTTTTTTTATTTTAATTTATTATTTCGAAAGTAAATAATATAATTCTCACAAATTTTAAATGAAGCATAGTTTTAATTTATTTGAAACAGCTGGAACATGACCGCTACAATACGGTAGAAAAGTTAGCTTCGTAAATTAATTTACAGGTATGTTCTAAAATATTATTTAATTTTATCGTATAGAATTTACTGTCCAATTGTTAAGACATTTTAATGGCTTGTTCTATTCATACAATGAATACGTTTATTACGTTATTTATTTACTAAATGTGTTATCGTGCGAAGGTCCACCCATTCGACGTATTCGTTCACAGTATAATGCATTAATTCGCATCGCTGCACGTTATTTCATCTACTCGATATTACAATATCATTTTTCTCAAATTGATTTCAAGGTTTGTTTGGTGTGTCAACTGGAGTAAATATTTAGATGTGCGATATTTTTAGCTATATGGGAAGTGGACGTTTTAAAACCAGTTTCGTATTCGCGCTTTCATATTTCGGTTGTGTTAGAAGTTCCAGGTGAATTGTGTCTATAAGATGCAAAGTGATAATTCGAGAGGGCTCTTGCGGAAAAATGGTTAGATATTAATTTATTTTATTATCTAAGATTGAATAAAATATACATTTAAAAAATGTTCAATTTTCTATAATGTTTCATAATAATAAAATATAAACAGGTTTTATAAAACTTGTCATGCACACGACACACTTAATTTTTTTTTATTTCGTAGAATAGAATTGTGAGTGTTCAACATGTAGGTATTATGATTTAATTATATTTGCAAATAGGTTTGTGAACATTAACAAATCACATTATTATGTGAATGAAGGTAATTATTATACAAGTAAGCTAGTCGGAGAACCTAACGGGTAACCGGGGCTCCGGCTCGACGTGCAGGAGAAGGAACGGGGTGGTTTTTAGTCAGTAAGAGTCTGACACTCCCTCCCGCCTCACCCAGGCGGGAGCAGTCATTCGATGATTTTCCCCCCTTAAAAAAAAAAAAATTCAATAAGACTATTAACGACAACCAAATAAGTATAGGTACTTTGATAAGCAGTAGGCCTACCTACTGCTGATAAGCAGTAGGTAGGCCTACTGCTTATCAAATTGTATAAAGGATTTGTTAAGTAGAAAAAACCAATATTCTTCTTGAAATACAATTATAAAATTTATTTCTTTTTCTTTTTTTAATTATTAGTTTACAAATTTGCATTCTATGTTTTGTTATTCATTAGGCATTAGTGAAGTTCAATAGTTAAAAACATATTCAAAAAGATTCTACCTATTTGACTATTGTTACATCTAAAAATAAATAAATAAATAGGTATGTATCTATACCTATTTATTTATATCCAAACAGTCACAACGATAGAAAATCATTTATAGTAATTGACTTATTTACAACAAGTGTGTGGGTTCAGCTTCATTCTAATAACCATCCCATTTTTTTAATAGAATTTATTTCCATTCAATTCATACGCAATTATTAAAATATTTCATTTCTAGATAAAACAAATAAAAGTTACGAATGACTTTGTATAATTTTTTTTTTATATTAAAGATATGTAATGTTTGTTTAAGAATTGAAACATACAACTTATTTAATTATTTCACAAGTATTTCATATCATTGATGTTTATACTCTGTTTTGTTTTGATGTGTGTGGTAATGACGTGATGACATAACTTCACACACTGTAATGTCATTGCCCTTTTATTAAGAGTCAGGTGTGTGCTAGTCAGTAGTCACATAAATACATTATGCAAGAAATAGTTATAATGCTGATTTTTTTTTTTTTATATAAAATGTACAGTGAAACGAAGTGTTTGTTTAAGTCTCATGTACATAAAAGAAATTTGCCTTGGGGTAAAATTGTACCTGCGCGTATTCGACCTCTCGAACGTTTTATAATATTTTTCAAGTAACAAAATATTGTGACTGAACTAGCAAGATCAGAGGCATATTAATCCTAGATAGCGCCCTAGGCAGAACATTACAGGCGCCCCTAATTTTTTTTGGCGCCATCACCGCTCTATGGGCTTTTGGGCACGTGTGCCTCGCGGCGCCCTAGACACTTTCCTAGTTTGTCTTAGGGATAGTATTCTAATTGAGATAGATATTTGACATTTTAGTTGTGTAGGTACAACTTACGGAGTTTCTGTTAGAACTCTACCTTAAAAGAAGAAACAATGAAATAAAAACGGTATATTTTCACCGTTACATAAATTCAAAAATGAAGAAAAAATGTTATAATTGAACAATGTACACAGTGCAAAAAGGCCAGTGCTCAGATAAAACCTGTGACCTGAGCGCGATTGCTCGAGTCGCGGCGCTGATTTTCAGCAATAGCCCGTTGCCTTATTAGAGAGATCGTCGTTCACTCATTAAGAACCTAGATGCCGTACGACATTGTCTAAATCCCAGCACTTCTGATCGAAAGTTATACGTAGAACATTTTAAAATGATCTCATATAAAATTCTTCAACGTGTAGTCACTGTGACATCAGTAGATAATAGTCCCACTCGTGTCACAAACGATAATTTAATTTTAGAGTAACCTATAAATCTCTGCTTCATAAATTATAAAACGCCCAAGGAAGAAAGAAAGTTCATTGTAGTTTTATTTATTAGTCGTACTTAAGATATTATTGACGAATTTCCTATTTAGACTATCAACAGGAAAATAAATGTATTCCAATGATAGCTGCTTCGATCGAAAATTATAATAACTGTACATACACTTAAAACGGAGAAAGTAGAATGCTTAACCAGTATTAAAACTAATGTGTAACCCATCAACAGTCCGTCTACAATCAACTGCTGGACTCTCTCTCTCTGCCTGTCTCTTTTGTGTAAAAGTAATTTACCATATTCTCCAAGTTTGGCACGTAGGTTAGAGACCACAGTTTAAAAAAGTTCAGTTTGAACAGAGAATATAGCAGCACGATCCATGTGCAATCCCTTAATCGGCTCTTATGATACCAGCGGGAAAGTAATTAACAGGAATAGTGATAATGTCTAGTACAGTTACTGTCATGCAGTCATGACACGTTAGAAATATTATTAAAATGTATCTTTATGTGACAAGACTGGCTTCAACCTCATATCTCAACGACAATATTCTATTTGGAAATTAAGCCGTATATCGAAAAAGCAAATAGGTTTTTAATGGCAGTAAAAATCAGGAAGACGGGGCGTATTATCGAAATTCATTTACATAATATTACGTGTCAGTGGTAAGCAAAAGGCACCAATAGCTTTCCGGGTTTTTTGAATTGAATGGGATATGATGATTTTGGTGTGGAAATTGAAATATTTGACCAAGTGAAAAACCGTGGGACTTAACGCGCGTAAGAGACCCAAGCTTCAGCACAAATGGGGTGATAAAAGTCACACCGAGCCTATTTTCTAATAAAGGTGGGTCTATGTCTATTTTATCAAGTTCAAATCTATGTATAATAAATAAATGTCAGTAGGTTAATGCTTAGCTTGATAGTCAGCATTACTCAGACAGGTAGGCGTTTTATTGTCCTCCCCACAAAGAATTAGGTCATAGCAGGCATTGCTGGAATTGATCGGAATTTCACGTTCTCGTCCATTATATCGGCCAGTTCGTGACTTACGCAGTAAAATTCATGCATACAGCTTTATCTTACATAAACTAAACTATAATTATATTTGGTGAATTTTTCTCCTACGAAATATTTATTGTTTCTGCGTTCCATAGAGGGCACCACTATCGAATATGAGTATCATGGTCCTGTTAGTCAGCTACAGTTGTATAGGGATTAAAGTAAGTAAATATTATTTTTTGTTAGTGCCCAATCTTGTGGCAAATAAAATTATAAACAAAGAATTTAGTTTTGAATCTTGACTAAAGCAAAAGGTACAACTAAAACAAAACTTAACACGAGGCAAAACAGATGCCTTTGTTATATTTATTTCCACGCTACTTTACATAATTTACAAAGCGGAACTAAATCCAGCTTATACGATATTTGCTTACGTCAGAGCATAAATAAAAAATTAGCTGTGCTCTTCTGACTCCGAATTTCAATTGGTTCTCATGTAGGATTTCATTAAATAGGAATTTTTTTTGTTCATCTACTGTTCATGTGAAGGAACACATTTCTACAAGATATGGATTTTCTAAATCTTGACATACATAATTATTATCAAGTCCTAACTATTTCGCGTCTGTACGAACGCGATTAATTAAAAAACTACCTAGGTACCAGACGAATTTATGTCCTGTTATCACAAATGGATAAGTCGAATTCCCGAAGAATATATAATAATAAGCGGATCCTATATGGCCAGGCAAAAGTGAATAACAGTGACAGTTGTCCATTTAACTACTTCAATCTTTCTCTGAATACAGTTTGACCTGTTAAAAATATCAATACTTATATAGGTGTATTTAAACGAATATGTTCTAAATCTCTATAAAAAGTGCATGTCAGTATAAAAATTTTCAGACGACTCCAGCATAACGGCCATAACCATCAGATATAATAACATAAAGGCCCTTTATATTTGTATTGGCCTCTATAATTTTATTCTGAGCACGTCTCAGCTTGGCATTTGCTGATCATATCAATGACGTAGTGACTGCTACCACTGGCGCCGATCAGACTTTCTCTAAGTGTTAGATCGTGTTTACACTTTTACTTGTTATACGCCATGGCTTCACAATTTGTATTGAATTACTTCTGGGCCTAACAAGATAAGGCTTCTTTAAAGTATCAGTTTCAAGAGTAGCAACTTGATATGATGATATGTAAGGCCTGGGAAATCTGCGAGTGATAAAGAGTGATCAAGGTCGTTACGAAATCTATTCGAAACTCTATTTCTTAACTTGATTTTACATTACTCAATTATAAACTTTCGAGTAGGTAAATAAGAAATTGAAATTGCATAGATGTGTGAAAAATAGTGCAAATCCTGACGAAAGACATGAAGTGGAATAAGCTGTATGGTTGCTAGTGTTGCTAACCACACAATAGTCCTCACTTCTACCCTTATTGATTACTGTGGACTTTAGTTTGGACGTCATCGGAAGCGATTAATGATTTTTTGTTTAATAACTTGTGTTGGTTGTTACAAGAAAGTTTTTTGTTTGTTAAAATAAATACGTAGAAAC